CGTTCAACTTGACTCTTTGGGCCTCTGGCCCTGCGCTCTCCCGCCTGAGGGCAGTCACCGCCTGGCTGGCTCTCTGCCCGAGGACGCGCCCCCAGAGCCCCGCCCTCAGCCCAGCTGCGCATCCGCCCCGGCCCCCTTGCTCAGGTACCGCCCTCTGCCCGCCCCGCGCCCGGGCACCGCCCTCTGCCCGCCCCGCGCCCAGCGCCTCTTGCATCAACTCCGTCCAGGCTGCGGGTGACAGCCAGAGGCCAGGGCGCAAAAGCCTGACCAGGTCACCGAACCCACGGCTGACAGTGCACTGTAAGCAGGTCCGAAATGCTCTGGGACACGGATAAGCCCGGCCTGTTTCCCGTCTCAGAGCGCACGCTGAGGGCAGCCACGCAGCTCACCGCCCGTCCTCTGGCGCTTTCTGTGTTGTTTCCAGTTTGATTTGTTTAAACTAAACGTATGTCGTGAGTGCAGTTTTGCTTTCTGTCTTCCTTGCAGCTCGACAGTTTCCGTACCGCCCCTGCAGACGCTCGGTAAAGGCCCTTTCCAGTGACTGCCTAGATTTCCGTTACACTCCCGGCTCACGGCCGATCAAATCATCGGCTTCATAATTGGGTGTGAAGATTCTTTTCAATTATTTATCGTCTCTGTCCTGGAGATTATTTCCCCTGCTGGGGGTTACACTTGAGAGCACTGGAGATGCCTCGGATTCCCCGGATAGTGCTCGGACGGTCGTCTAGCGAGACGACAGCTCGAGGTGATTGCCTCCATCTTGGCGGCGTGTCCGTACGGGCAGAGCGCAGGGAGCTCCCACCTCCCGGCGGGGACCCAGCCTGCCGATGGCACCAAGGTGGAAGCAGCGGGGTGGCGCCGACGTGGGGCTCAGGACAGCCTGTCTGTGCTGGGGTCCCGGGAGTCGCGGGCCCTGGGCGCATGGCGGGGGCCGACCAGCCGCTGACCCAGGCAGGGCCGCACCCGCCCCGCCGCCCCTGGCCTCGTCCTGCCTTTGCGGGTCTGAACACCGGAGCCTTGGCTGAAGCCAGTCCCAGCCTTGTTTGTCACTGCAGCCTAGACTCTTGAAGGCTGGTCCCTCACCTTGGCGACGTCACCCGCGTGTAAGGGGGCAGATGCTTGGGCCTTTGCCATGGCACGCCCGTGCACATTCTGTGCCAGTTTTTGAAGAAGCGAGGCCTGCGTAGGGCTCGTGTTCTTCATGTCACGAGAGCAAAGGGTCGAAAACGTGTTTGTGGGAAGATTTTATTTATGTGTGCAAGAGCTGGGGTGCAGGCCAGGGGTGTGGTGGGTGCGAAGATTCCCCAGAGACAGAGCGGGCCCCCGCCGAGGGGGCAGCGGGGAGACGAGAAGTCTGCGCCCCGGGCCCCTCCCTGGCCGGTCACACTTGCGCCCCGCGGCTGCTGCTGAGGCCCTCGCAGTGCCGAGGCTCAGCCCTGCGCCCCAGGGAGCGGGCACAAACACGCCTGAGCTCTCAACCCTCTGCACATGCGACACGCTCACCGCGATGGCTTTACAGTCTCTCAGACCATCCCAGAGCCCTTAATTTCGGTGAAAATTGTCGATTGACATTATCTGAGATTCTAAAAGCAGCTGAGTAATTTGTGGCGCGGTTGCGCTTGTCTCGTGAACGCACAAAGGACCCCGCGACGAGCGTGCGGCGGAGCCGGGTCCTGGTCAGCTGCTCCTTTGCTCCTCCGACGTTTGTCACGGAGGTGGCTTTGAGGGCCGGCTGGCGTGTCAGGAGCCGTGGAGCCTGAACCCCGGAGGCCCGGGGCGGGCGCCGGCCACGCTGGAGCCTGAACCCCGGAGGCCCGCTGTCCTTACCCAGAGACGGTGCCGCCGGCCGCTTCTGCTGGCCGTGCTCGGGGGTGCTGTCTGCCCCCCCGGCCCCCGGGATCTCCGTTTCGGTGGTCGCGCCTTTATCCCCGTAGTCCTTGTCCGACCCTGACCCTTGTCCTGCAGGAGTGTGGCTTCGCGTGAGCCGCCCATCTCGTGTGCGTCAAACCCGTATTGGCCCCTCACTTGAACTGGCCTCGGTGTCCGGGCCGCCTCTGGACCTGCCGTCCCTGTCAGTGTCTGTCGGACTGCTGGCTGCTCGCCTGGCCCCGGAGGCCTGCCAGCGTGGCGTCCGCGGACAGCTCCCGGTCCTCTCCGGACGTCTCTGGCCCTGGACAGGTGGTGGACGGAGGTCGCCGCAGAGGGCCTGGCCCCGCACCCCCGGCCCGAGGCTCTGCAGCCTCCAGAACCGCGGCGTGCTCCTGGGGCCTCCCCGCCCCCAAGGCAGGAGGCCCCGAGATGTCCCTTTGGTGTGTCCGTTAGGTCCTTCGGTTGTCTGTCGGGATTTGGTCGGGTTGGGAGTTCTTCATGAGGGCCCGAGTCTCCTCTTCTCTGCTTTTTAAGTTTGTGCAAGGTGATATGAATCCTTCCTGAATGTTGGTGCAATTCACCGGTGAAACCATCTGGGTAGGAGTGCTTTAGGGGAGTTTTTGATTACAGATTCAATTACTTCTTTTTTAAAAAAGAGTTATTTGTAATTTATTTATGCATACAGGGGCGGGGTGCAGGCCAGAGGTGGGGGAGGCGGGGTGAGAGGAGCCACAGAGACAGGGCGGGGAGCAGAACAGGCGGATCCACCGAAACCCACAGCTGAGGGGCGGCGGGCGCGCCAGGAGGGGTCCGCTGCGCCCCGTGGCCACTCCCTGGCCGGGGTCGAACTCGGGCTGCAGCGGCTTCAGCTTCTCAGCGCTGCGCCCCCAGGGAGCCCCTTGCCCTCGCTCTCCCGGGCACACGCCCGAGGCCCCCGCGCGTTCTCACCACGGCCTCGCCCTCGGCCTCCCGGCGCCGGCGGTTTTCCCGCTTCAAAGACCCGGGCTTTGATTCTGACAACTTCAGAGCTGTTTCCTATGTTGATTATTTCCTTTCTCTTTACTGTAGATTTGATCTCATGAATTTCCCCGCCCTTGACAGTGCAAACCTAGACCGTTTATTCCGGGCCACGCTCGCTGCTGCCGTCAGCACTGCGGCTGCACCTCGCCCGCCCCGCTCAGCCGCCTCGTCCGCTGCGCTGCTGCGCTTTTACCGCCTCTGGCCGCCGGTGCTCCCCGCCTTCCCGGGCTCAGCTGTCCGGCGAGCGCTGGCCGCGGGGCTGCGCGCCTGTCTGGCCGTGCCACCTGCCCCTCTGCTCAGTCACTTGCGTGGGCCGAGGCGTGTCCTGCGGTCGATGCCAGTTAGCGCCGCGACGTGGCACCTGCCGTGGCCTCGCCCGTTGCCCGCTTTTAACCACCCGCAGCGGCAGCTGTAGCTTTCTGAGGCTGTCGTCCCGCCAGGCTCTGCTTCCCACGCTGGGGAGCTCAGCTGCGCCCCAGACCCCTTACTTCTCCCCAGCGAGAAGCTGCGGCCGAGGGCCAAGCGCGGGCCCTGCACGGGCCCTGGACGGTCCCGGACAGTCCCGTAATGCCCTTCTCAGTTTTCCCATTTGCAAAAACAGCCCCGCGTTAGGATAGTGCGTTGGCTGGGGAACAGTGCCGTGTTGGGGGTCTGGGGAGCGCCCCACAGTAAGCAGATGCGAGGTGCTTCTCCGTGCCCTCTTCTCCCTCCCGGGCAAGGGCGTGGGGACGGCGGAGAAAAGCAGCTCACCCCGCAAGCTGGAGGTTTGCCTCCAGTGTGCCCGCAGGCCTCGCTCTCCCGGCCTGCTGTGCCGGCCGGGGTGGGCTGACGCTCTGCGTGGTGCCCGGTGATGGCTCAGAGGTAGCTGTAAGGCATCCGGTGTGCCGGGTCTCGGCCCTGCGTGACCATGGGCTTCCTGGGAGCCTGGCCAGGGTTTGTTTCCCAAGTGGAGTCGCCCAGCAGTAGCAACCTGCTTTCGTTCTGAGGACTGTGGGTGAGGCAGTGGCCAGCGGCCAGCGGCCATGGACGGGACTAGGTGGAGTCCGGCTGTCTGCGGGAAGATGGGCTGACTGCAGTGTCAGGGTTGGGTGAAGGACTTAATCTTTGCCGAAAAAGAAAGAAAGCAAAAGCTCCCGCCCGCTCTTGCTGTTGTCACACGCGTCCTTATCTTGTTGGTATTTTCTGTGCAGAGAAGAAGGACGTGACCCAGAGCCTGGAGAACTACACCACCAAGTGTCCCGGGACCATGGAGCTCATCAGCCTCCCGGACGGCCTCAGCCTGCCCCCCGTGCCCTTCACCAAGCTCCCCGTCGTCAGGTGAGCCTCCCCGGGGGCCGTGCGCCGCACGGAGCTGCCATGCTGTCCGCTTTGCGGCGGCCCGGAGCCCGGGAGCAGCGCGTGGAGCGGAGCGTGGGCGTCCACTTACCAGGCACGCTGCCCACGGGACGTGCGCCTGGCGCTCCCGGAGCCGCAGCCCCCGAGGGGCCGCCCTGAGAGGGGCGCCTGAGGCTGCGATTTCTCGGGGCGGGGGGGAATCTCTGTCATGGTGTCGGGGGCTGCGGTGCGCGGCCCTGGCCGGGACTGCAGGCGGGGTCCCCGCTGGAGCCAGAGCGGCGCGTTCTTGGGGAGTCAGGGCTTGCTGCGGTTGTGTTTGTTTTTTAATTAAAGACTAGAAAAAGTCTTTCTTACTCATATGTCATCTGCTTTCCGATCTGGGTCATCCTTAAATTCACAAGCCTCCTGAACCTGAAGAACATTCTAGACCTTGGGTGCTGCTCTGCCACCTCAAGCTCTCTGGCCTTTTGTCAGGGTGGGGGCGGTGCCGGCCGGTCAGCGCAGTGCAGGACCCCTGTGCCTTCCTCCAGGCTCCGGACGGCAGCGCTGTGCCAGGCTGAGCCCTGGGGTCTTCCGTGCAGCCGCGGCCTTCCCCCGCCTCTGGGCCCGCCTCCCCGGCCTTAAAAATGGCTCGAAGGCCATCGCTCTCGGCCGCTGGCGTGCTCGCGGGAGCCGGGAGCACGGAGCCGGCGGTCGGGAAAGCTCAGTGCTTGAAGACATTTCATAGCTCCGTTTTTTCTTACTTAGTTACTTACTATTGTCTATGCGTAGGCAACGGGGGCGCAGGCCAGAGGCGCAGGGTGTGAGGGGACTCGCAGAGCGGGGAGCAGAACAGGTGGATCTACTGAATACACTGCAGAGGGGAGCAGGGGTCTGCCGCGCCCAGGGGTCACCTCGGGCCGGGGATCAGACTCAGTGAGCGGCTGCGGCCGGCTTGCAGGGCTGCGCTCTGACCCGCTGCACCCCGGGGGAGCGGGCCCTATGCCTACATTTTTAAACAGCGCTTGCTTGAGAGAAAGAGTATAATATTAACGTGCTAATTCTTCCGCTGTCTGGAACGTCAGCTTGCACAGACTGGGCAAGCTTAACAGTCTGGCATTAGGCAGCGACCGCTAGGCCCGCTGTGAACGTGGCTTTCGCGTGGCCCTCGACAGCGGCGTCCTTGCGGCCCGGCACCTGGCACCTTGGGTCTGATTTCCCCACTGCCTGCCGTCTGGTAGAGATGTTCTCAGCCGGTCGTGGAGACACGAGCCCCGCGTCTGATGGCTCAGGCGTCGTGCAGTCACCCGTGACCCCGCTAAACCCTGGAGAGAAATACCCAGGGGACCGTCTTCGCCACAGCGGCCCTGGCATCACTGGCAAAACGGAAGGCTTGGAAGCCGGCATCCTGGCTGCCGGCGCTGCCCCCACGCCCGCCCCGTCTGGCTGTGCGTCCTCCCGGGCGCGCTGTGACGGGCCCGGGCCCCGCTCTGTGACTGGGTCACCCTGACCCGCAGACCCCACCCCGTGCGCAGTGCTTCAGAGGAGGCCGAGCGTGCCGCGGGCTCCGCGCCTTGGTCCAGGCTTCACGGCCTGCTCGACGCGCCTCTGCCTCGCTTCTCTGCGGCTCATACTCAGCCACCCTTCCGCTCGTCGGGAGGCGTCTCCCAGAAGGCCTGTCCCGAGGCCGCCCGGCCAACTGTGAGCCCCTTAGCTGCACAGAGCAGAGGACCTCGCAGCGGCCGCCCCGCACGGCTATTGCCAAGTGTATCGGGGGGCCTCTGCACCTCTGGCTCTGCTCACATCGCCAGCCGGCTGCTGCAGCGC